TGTCTAGGTCCCTTCCCACTCATGGATTCTATGATTCTAAGAATGGCAAAAAAACAATGTGGCCACACGAGAAACTTCTAAAATGTCTCAAATATAAAAGGAAAGTCTATGGGTGATGGAAAGATGGGCAGTCAAGGAAGAATACCAAGAAATAACAAGGACTTACAAGAAAAAAATCAGGACGGCAATGGTAAAAAATGTGCTGCACCTAGCAAGGGAAGTTAAGGTCAATAAGGAAAGGTTCTATAAGTATGCTAGCCAGAAAAGAAACACCAAGGAAACAGTAGCTCCATTGTTAAATAGCCAGGGTTAGCTTTTAACAGAAGATGCATACAAGGCAGAACTATTAACAGGTACTTTACCTCAGTCTTCACAAAAGAATTAATCTGCAATCAGGCAGCTGCTAAGGTTTATTTGGATAAGGAAGGAGAAAATCTAAGGGTTGAGATAAGGAAAGAGACAGGCAGCTTTTGTCTGGTTTGAATCAATTAAAGTCAGCAGGGTCTAATGAACTTGGTACTGGGTCAGCAGGGCCTGATGATCCCAGGGTACTGAAGAAACTAGAAGAGAAGATCTTGGAGACCTTGCTAATAACAGTTACAGAGTTGTGAGAGACAGGCAAGGTACGAGAGGACTGTAAAAGAGCCAACATAGTGCCCTGCTTTAAAAGGCAAAAAGGAGGACCTCAGGAATTATGGACCAATTAGCCTTACCTCAATGTATGGGAAGTTATTGGAGCATATCATAAGGAAGTCCATTTGCAAGCATCTGGAGGAGAAAAGGCTGATAATGGTCAGCCAGCATAGATTTGCTAAGAACAAATTGTACCAAACAAACTTGATCTCCTTCTTTGACAAAATTGCTAGCTGGGTGGATGCAGGGAATGCTTTGGATACAGTGTACTGGATTTCAGCAAGACTTTTAACACACATGATCTTCTCATAAACAAATCAGATAAAACTACTTTAAAGTGAATAGAAAACCAGCTCAATAGCCACAAGCAAAGGGTAATTATAAATGGATCCATGTGGGAATGGTAGGAGGTTTCCAGAAGAGTCCCACAGGAATCTGTCCTGAACCCAGGGCTGTTCAGTGTACTTATTTGTGATTTGGATGCTGAAATAGATGTTTTCAGCAAATTTGTAGATGACACAAAATTGGGAACTGTGAATACATTGAAGGAGACAAATGCATTTCAGGCATATCTTGATAGATTGGAAAGCTGGGCTAGAACCAACAGGATGAAGTTCGGTATTGATAAATGCAAGGCTCTATACCTTGGGAAGAATAATAAAACACACAAATGTAAAATGGAAGACACCTAGCTGGATGGCAGTATGTGGAGAAGAATATAGGAGTCTTGGTGGATCAGAAACTCCATAACAGTCTTCAGTGTGACACAGCTGCATAAAAGGCAAATGCATCAACTGAAACAATAGATGCAATATATGGGAGGTGATATTGCCTTATTATGCAGCACTAGTTTGGCCTCTTCTAGAGTACTGTGTGCAGCTCTGAGCTCCATATTTTAAAAAGGACGTTGGAGAAAGTCCAGAGGTGAGCAACAAAAGTGATAAAGGGCTTGGAAGGAAAGCCAGATTAAGACACATTGAAAGAAATAGGCATATTCATCTTGTGGAAAAGTTGCTTAAGAGAAGACATGATAGCTGTGCTCAAATATCTGAAAGGTGTCTCTAGTGGGTTATGGAATAGGAGAAAGATCCGACACAATTTACTGATTTATTTGATGCGCCTGGCTGGGGAAGTATTTGGTAGATTGCACAATTTCACAATGATTGCACACTTAATTCATACAACACAATTTTATTTTAAAATTCTTTGTTATACATATAACACTGCTTAGCTTTAAGAAATCCTTCCCAAACAATGCTATAAGAATTAGTATTATAAAAACAACTACAATTACAAGTAAAGGTTAAATTGGAATCAATACTATTATTTCTCATGGTATACTTACAGTCCTAGAATTCCTAGAAACCAAATCTCCAAGGATACTTTCATTCTTTAGTTATGGTTTTAGGGTTGGTCTCAGCAGTGATAGGAACAAGTCTCCTTCCTTCAGTCCCACTCGGGCACTCCACGGCTTTAGTGTGAACGGGAGTTCTTGTTCACGGAAAGCGTAGTTCAGGGGATCAGTCTGACCCGGCCTACACTTGCGATTCTTCCTTCAGTGTTCTGCAAGTGAGGTTACCTCCAAATTGGGACTGTAGGTTACAGTTTTTATTGGGTGAGTTGCCGTCTTGGGCCCCTCCTACCCAAACCTGTCACTACTTGCAAATTTGGGCTTGGATCTTTTACCCAACAAATTCCTTTCCTGGGTCGTCTTTGGGAAATTTGCCACACCACTGCTGTGACCTCTTTTGCCAACCCCCTTCCAAAAGCCTCTAGGTTTCGATCTCTCGGAATGTTTGCCCAAGGGTCGCTTTTAGGTTAACTTTGTTAAAGGCCTCTAGAGATAAAATTCAAGAACCAATTCATTCGGCACATTCACTGCAAGGCCTCTAAAGATAAAATTCAGAATCAAGACATTCAACACATAGGCAAAAACAAGCAATGGACTAGATAAGAAGATGAACCTTGCCTTTTTTCTAAACTGGCTAATGGGTATTTATTACAAAAATTCAAACTATTACATTCAGTATGACATCCCCCCATGCCCATTAGGCAGTTTGATTACCATTGTATTTCATTTCTAAGCCTTGCAAACTTATTCCAGTAATCCCATGACAACATACACAAAATTAATTTTCCTAAAATGATTAACCCAAACAATCCTATGATGCCTATTATAACATATATCACCCATTTTCCGGAAAATACAGTCTTTATGGTGTTCCATAGTTGTTGTCCTATTGATCCTATTTTGTGTATAGTATATTTAACACCATTCCCCACTGTGTTTCCAGTTGTGGCTAGTCCTTCTAACACTGAGGCAGATGGTACATTGAGGACCTTGCTAGCATTGAGTAATTTCAGGTAAGTAATGTGCTCTCCATAGTCCTTTGACAACATTAGTAATTGCCCGGTTTCCGAGTTGAACGATATATGAGCCAGATTTAATTGCTGCAAGTTAACGTCCCACATGGAGAGTTGGGAATACACGTTATTCTCCTCAGTTGTGCTCCAGTGATCTGCGGCGATCCATGGAATACCTGTTTCAGACCAAAGTACTACTCCCATACTTGAGTGCAGATCATTAATTTTTGGCTCTATTATACATACACATTTCCTAGCTAATGTATCTTTCCAAAACTGAGCCCTGGGCTCAGAGGGCTGGAGTTGAGGGATATTATATTTTATGTTCATTATTTCCCCTGTACCTCTCCAGAACTG